ATAATGTATATATTATAATAAAATTGTTATAACTATTATTATGACTAATATAATAATGAACCAGTTATTCATTGTATACATTAAATTTTATTTTACCGTTTAATTTTTTAATGAAATTCATAATATAGTTCTCAGGGTTTGAGAAGTCATGTTAGGAAAGAAAACAGAAAAAAAATAGAGAAAAATAATTATTTAAATACTAAGTAATATGCAAACACTACTAATATATTGTTTTGAAAACATTTTCTAGGCATAAATGCATATTATAAATTTTTTAAACCATATACAAGTTAGATTTAAGTGTATGTATATCTGAATATTTATAATATGTTATACACTCTAAAGTGTTATATAAAAAAATAGCAATGTAGTGATGTAATATTTTAATATAAATTTTATTTAAATTTGTATTATTATTTTGTCTTTTAGTTTTTGTTTTACAAATAACAAAATATTTATTGACCTTGATTGAACCGACTTAAATTCCAAATTCAATAATGAATAAATTTCATAATGAATTCAAATTTGTTTTAAAATTCAATTTTTTTTTTTTTAACAAAATTTACCAGTTTAAATTTAATATCTTTCAAATTTTCATTATAATGCAGATAACATACAACTATGGTAATATTGTTAAAATAACATGAATATAAAACAAAACATGTAATAAATGGAAAACAAATTTTGAAAATTAAAAAAATTCATAAATTTTTTAATTTAAGACGAAATTAAGTAATTCTGTGTTAACCGCGGTAAAACGTGTCTAAGGCGATTTTGAGATTTGACTTGAGCTATTAGTTTTATCTCTACTGTGTTATCTCAATTAGTTCCAAAATAAATGAAATACATATACAACAAACTTCTAAACTAAATCTATAATTATGACAGTTAGTTAGTATGTACATATAATGTAATGTGTATAAAACCATTTAATATTAAATATAAATTTTATGGTGACCTGACTGCACTGACGTCATTTTTTTATTGCATGACCTTTTTTTGCAACGAAACATTTAGAAATAAAATATATTCTTGCAAAAATTCAGCAGATTTTCTATTTTTCTGGAAAATTTGGGTTTTTATGTATATTATTTATGATATAAGTGATTTTAGATAATTCAGTTCTAGCTAACATGTTCTACAAAGGCAAACTTCAAAATCTGTAAAAATAGCATGTTTGAAAATGTACTATTTTGTACACGGAAATTTATTTAAAATTGAGGAAATCTTTGATTTTTAATAAACGGTAAAAAATTGGGATTGGAACAAGTTGAAAAATCTAATAATCTATTATTACTAATTACAAATACAACGGTTATCTTTATTATTAGTTTCTTATGAGAACTAATGAAAATTCCTTCATACAACTACAGATATACGAAAAGAACATAGTGATTGTATTTTCGAAAAATAGATTTTATGTAGCAATTTCATGTAAACAAATACTTGGTAATTATGTATATATAATATAAAGAATGATTTGCCGGTAATTTCTTCAGTTAATAGACCGACCGCCTATAGAAAACGGTAGGTCACTGATGCGACTGAGTCCAGTTCGAAGAGAAGAAAAAAATTTCCTTTTATATTTTTCTGCGTTGACTCGTTCTTTTTAATACGTCATTCATTTGTTCTGCGGTTGAATGAAGGAATTTTTATTATATATAATCTAATAATCTCTTTACAATCAGGTATTTTGCAAAATTTTTCAATAAAATTTTAAGAAAAATACACAAGTTCATTATTGCTTATGATGGTTGTACGTTTTTCTTAATTTTAATATTAATGGTTGATTTTATTCCATGACTTATTATATTTCTTTAACTTTTATATTATTTTTAGTAAAATGTAAAATATTATCCCAAAAATTTATAATTTTTAAGTGCCAGAATTCGAAATGTTGTGTATACTTGAATAATTTTCATTTAAACCAAATATATATCTACACATAATTGGCATTTATTGATTATATTTATAAATAAAATGTAGTGAGCTAATTAATTTGTGATCCGCATTGTTAAAATTCTAATTTGCATAGAAAATTATCAATTTGAAAGAAATTATTTTTCAATGAAATATAAAAAAAAAAACTATATAAAAACTTGATTTAAATCAATTATTTTTAATAGTGTGAATTTTTGCACAAATTGTCTTATATATCGTTACAAAATATAGGAAAATTATTAATATTGTATATGTAAAAAATATTTTCATCAATGTGATCTTGCATTGTATTGTATTTTATGTGTATATAATTATAAAATGAAAAATGTCGCTCATTAAATTATACGCAACTTTGATTATGTTTTTCATATTTCTTTTTAAAAAAAAAAATATAAAATACTTAATAAAAATTTATTATAAATTAATAAAATTTAATTTATCAATAATAAACCATTTCAAAAAAAACTCAACCATAAAATTTTCAATTTTCTTTAAAAAATGCAATAAAAAACTCTCATCAACATTTCAATTTCATTTGACGACTCTCTACTCATTACCCTAATTTACCCGAATTTTTATATGATTTTTCTGATTATCATTTTACTATTCATTTTTATTGCATCAAAAAAAAAAAAAAACAGAAACAAAATAACAAAATTCAATCAAGTTTTTCTTTAATCAATAAAATTTTTCCAATTTTTCTTATATTTTATGCCTATAGATTTTTCGGAATATTCACAATTCTGAATTACACATGGTGTTTGTATAATATGTAAAAATATTAGAAATTATAAGCAAAGCGTTTAAAGTAAAATTTTATTAAATACGAAAAAGAAAAAAATTCCTCTTTTACTGAATGCGAATAAAAATACCAAAACAAAAATAAGAACAAAAACAAACATAATAATAACAAACATAAAGAAACGAAAGATTTCAATGCACGTTCTACATTTTTATTTAGAAACTTGCAGAAATTTGACAGTAAAATACACTCATACATTTTAATTTTCATATAAATTAATATCTATAATATAAAATTTCAGACAGTTGAGGTCATATAACAACTAATACAAAAGCAAATTCAGTAAATTTAAGGTGTAAAATTGAAGAGAGGAGTTTGTTTTTTTTCTGTTTTGCTTATTAAAATAAAAAAAAAAGTAAGAAAAGAACGTGAAGTGAGAAGAAAATGAAAAAAATGAGTATGTAAAATATTTTTATAAAAGAGAATAAAATTGTAAGAGTAATTGAATTATTTTTTTTTGTTTTTGCACATTCTTTTTTTAAATTTTAATAAAAAAAAATGTAAAAATTTGAATTGTATTTGCAATTACGTATACGCTTATATTTAAAATGAATGATTAAGAGAGTTTCCATTTAACATATTATTTAAATTAATTTTGTAGTTCATACTTGATTGGCACACCTTGGTTAATTACTTAAATTGTATAATTGCCATTTCTATATGGAAGAAATTTTTTATTACAACAAGTATAGCACTGAGTTGTTAGTGAATATAGAAAAATAAAAGATTAAACATTTCTATTGAGTTCTCATGGAATATTCAGAAATCCGTGTGTTTTCATTTGGCTTTATTTTATAAAGTGTTGGAATAAGTTCAACTGTATATATTAAAGTAAAAGTTAATATTCGAAAAGTATTTTTGAAGTAAAATCATAAAATTTCTATTAAAATTTTAATTTAATTTAATTAAAAGAGAAAATTCGAAAAATTAAATTACGAATTAATTTTTAGATACCTTTTACACATCAGATTTAATTTACGATTAAATCTGAATTTTATGAAAATTTAATGTGCAATCGAAATCTGATATCCTGTAAAATATGATGACAAAAATAGAAATATATCCGACTATTCCCAGATTTTCTGGCAGATTTTTAAAAATAACATAGTCAAAAATAAATTTTTAAAAAAGTTTTGCCACTGCAAGCTGATTTTTGTTTTATTTTTTAAATTTGATGTTGTCAGTTTATCGTAGATTTGGTCTGATGTGTAACTGCCACCTTAGAATTTGAAAATTTGCTGACCTTATTATTAGTAAGAAGTTGACAAAAATAAATTTATCCGCAGTGATTATGCTATTAATAAAACATCGTAAAAATTTTCTAACACAATTTTGGGTTTGTAGTGAACCGACGATATGACATAACGGTAACACCTTTCACATCCCCCACACCAGTCACATTATTCAATTTTCTTTCATTTCTACAGTTGAAAAACAAAAAAATTTAGCTAAATATCTTAATCTAAGAATACCACGATTTTTGTTTAAAAGTTTCCGTACAATTTATTGAAACTAAAATATCACGAATTTTTACCATACCTTTAAAATAAAAAAGAAACAAAAATATTTAAAAGCGTAAAACTTTATTGCATATACAATAAAATTTTATATCGCAAATTCCTTTGCAATTATGTTAAATATTTATATACACACACACATATATATAATATACAATCTTATCACTCTCTAAAACTCTATTTTTATATAATTTGTATATAAATAGCTTTAAATAGCAATATGAGTTAAAATTATAAAAATTTTTATATAAAAATTATATACATATACATATGTAAATACTTGGAGAATGAGAAAATATTAAATTAGAGAACTTTCCTTTTTGAAACTGTCTACTAACGTTGAATTGTGCAAGCACAACTCAATTCATTTGCTATACAAACATACAAACATTAATACAAGCGCTGTTGTTATTATATTATAGAGTCTTTTACTATTTTCTTTAATATTTTTTATTGTATGATCGTTAAGTGGTTCACTTTGTAACCTACTCTCTTTAAATTTTTTTTTTTGTTACTCTGACAGTTTTCTTGTTTTTATATTTTCCTTCTTCTTTTTCAATATACTTTTTATTTTGAGATTTATACCTGTTCTTTCAATACCACAGGAAAAACTTGAATGAAACGACAGGTAAAGTGGAAGATAAAAAAAAAATAGAAAAAATAAGAGAAAAAAATAATACCGGTCTTTTTTTTTTAAATTCTCATTTAAATTTGTTTTTTTTTTCTCTGATTCACAGCTAAATATTTACAGTTCAATACGATTGGTTATGATCACAGTAAGTTATTTGTTAATTTATTCGTATTAGAACAAGTTAATTTACTTAAGGTTATTTTAATCATATATAAGTAATAGAAATAAAGTATAACGTGTTAAACTTATGAGGAGCAGCTCAAAATTGTTGCGATTAATATAGAATTAGAGATATTCATAAATATTTTTATGTAATTCAATTATTAACTACAATTTTTGAAAATTTATACAAAATTCTTATATAGTCAAAATAGTGATGTCACGCTAGTGTTACTTGTCAAATGAAACCAACTATGGAACAGAGCTAAAATGCTGGTTTTTATTTTAGTTATTTTTGTTTTGAGATCATAGATCAACTTATAAGAAAATATTATACTGTTACTATGTACATACATATATACAAAATCCTTTTATTTTGCTCTCTTACAAATTTTTTTATTATTATTAGATTTTTTTTTTCTAGTTGTATGTATATACATTTATATATATATATCTGTATACATGTTATCATATTTATAGTTTTGTAAGAGCTTTGGAAAAAAAACGACTCTCACTGCGAGTATTTTGTTTTTTTGTTTTAGTTTTTGTTGATGTTATACAATTAAAATGTATTTTGTATATAGGGTGCTTCCATTCTGAATATATTATTTTAAAAAGAGAAATTATAGAAAATAAATAATAACATATACTGTAATTTAAAATTTGATGATTAATAGGGCGTTAGGTAGGAAACTTAATAATATTTTTATGCAATATCTTCATATTGCTTTCGTGAGGTCCGTATGCATGTCAGGTCTGGGCTCCGCTTCAGATCGTATTGAGGCTGTGCAGAAAAGGCGTTGTCTTCGTTTTATTCCTCGTGTTATGGATTGGTCAGATAAGTTTTTGTTTCCCCCTTATAAAAGTAGGTTTCAGCTTTTGGATTTAAAGTCGCTTCGTTGTAATAGGATGGTCTCTGATATAGTTTTCATTTATCAATTTGTGGTGGGTAATGTGGTTTCGCCGGTTTTATTGGGTAAAATTTCTTACTGGGAGAGTCCAGGTAATTTAAGATTGGTCAAGCTTTTCAATGTTCCGTTTTATAGTACGGACTATAGGATGTATGACCCAAAAACGTTGCAATGATGTTACGCGAAACATACAGTAACCTAACGCTTTCTAGGCACATAGCGAGCGTCCATACTATTAAAATGTTATAATAATAAGCCCTATAAAATATACCCTGTATTAAAAATCTTTTTTAATTAAAATATATACTTTTTCTCAATAATAATAACAAAAAAAAAAAAAACCAACTCAGACTTTTAAACATTTAAACTTTTTCAATTCTCAGCACTTTTTTTTTTTTCTGTTAGATTTCTTGTACAGGTTTTCCTTCACATAAAATTTATACACATTTTCAAACCAACAACAAAATGATTCGACCGACCGCAGTGGTTATTTTCTTATTACGAGTATTCTAGTTTAACAAAAAAAAAATATAAAATAAAAATAAAATTAACCAATGCACTAAAAATAATGTTTTAAGAAAAAAACAAAACAAAAACAAAAGAAACTAAAAGAAATGAGTAAAAAAAGTATTGGAGTAAGTATAAAGAGCAATATTCAATACATTCACATATACATACATAATATTACTTTAAGCTACTATCACTAGGTATATAATGCAGCAGCAGGAGCGCAACTAACTTTTTTAAAATTATTACTGTATATTTATACACACTTACATATTTTAAATTTATACAAACATACCTATTATATATATATATATATATATATATATATGTTGATATATGTTTAAATTGACGTAAACTGCATGCTTATATGCATGTGTATATGAATTTGAGCGATTGAGTACTCGTATAATATTTATGATAAAAAGAATGATATAAGAAAATGAAAGAAATAACAACAACAACAATAACAACAACAACAACAAAGTATACAGCGATGTAATGATCACCGTTTATGTTTTTCTTTCTTCTACATACTTTTTTTGTTTCTTTTATATTATTTTTCTTGTTTTATTTTTAAGTCTTAAAAAAAATTGTATTTAGAGGAGCCTAAAGGTAAATTATATCTTTTGGATACATTTTAGTTAGAGATTGTACGCGAACAGATTCAAAACAAAACTCTTGTTACTCTTTTTTTTTTTTTGTTTGCTTATATGTTTTTCTGTTCAAATTTTTAATTAAAGAAAGAAAAAAAAAAATAGAATTTCTTTTTGAAATTTCCTTTTTAAATTTCACATGATTTAAATTTGTTTATAGTTGTGTTTTACTTTGCTTTTTGTTAATTTTAAATTAAATTTCTAATTATTTATTCAAGGATTGAATATTATTGGAATCAGTACGAAATTAATTCAAAAACAAAAATTTGTAAAAAAATTTATGTGAATTACAATATCAAATATACTTTTACACAAATTACTTAAGATTTATGTATTTTATCAGAAAATTTAATATCGCAGAAAAATTAAATTCAAGTTTTTTAATTGGAAACTATAAAATTTCTTTAAATTTACAAAATATAAAAAGTAGTTTTTAATTGAATTTGAACAAATATTGTGAATTTTTTTTTTTTCAAAAAAAAAGAGAATGTTTAATAAGTTTTAAAGGTGATTATAATGTTATAATTAAATTGTTCGAAATTTGATTAGAAAAATTTTTAAAATATAATTTATATATAATACTCTTATATAATTTATTGAATTTTAATTATTAATATACTTCAAAAATAATGTCAACATTAAAAATTTTTAATTCACAATAAAAGCTAAAAAAATATTTAGAAAAAGTGGAATTTGTTTTTTTGTTTATTTTGCTCCTAAAATAAATAAAAAATATTTTATTACTCTTAAACTTAAAATTAATTTATTAAAATTTGCAATATAATTTTCTATATATATTTACTGTGAATATTTTTTTTTATTATTATTATTATTTTTTATTTTATAACCAATTTGCCAGAAAGAAATGAAAAAAAAAATTAAGGCAAAATTTGGAATATTCAAATTTTTGTTTTTTTTTTCCACAATTCCAAATTTGTGTTTATATACAAGTAATAAATTTTTAGTAAACAAAAGATGATGAAAAAATAAATAAAAAAACAAATAAAATAAAAAAATACTGGTTAAGATATAAAAAAAAAAAAATAAAGCTGAAAGTTGATTTTTTCTTAAATAAAAAATTTTTTTCTACTACGTGGTTTAAAATTAAAAAATTTTTATATTTACTTTATTATTATTTAAGTTATGTACAAAAAAAAAAATTTTGCTATTAATAAAGCAAAAAGTGATTCAGCTTAAAAAATTCTTGTTATGATTTTTTAATTTTTTTTTTTTCATTTATTTTCTTTATATGTATAACATTATAATAATATGTAAATAAATCTTATTTAAATTTATGTAGTGATTTTATATATTTACATATATATATATGTCATTTTATTATGTATTTATTATGTAATATACATAAATATTTGATAATATACATACATGCAAACACATAGCAATATATACATATAAAATGTCTCTCTAAATGTTATACTAATAATTAAAAAACAAAATAATTAACATAAAAGTTATAAGTACATAATAGAAATGTGTATATGTTAACTGTGTCTTTAGTACTGTCATAATAATACGAAATACTTATATGTGTATAAAATAAATATATTATTCTTATTCTATTATATTATGATTTAATTATTTCAATACCACACTACTGGTATACTAAAAAATAATATATAAAATAACAGTAATAAATTTTGTTAGTATAAAATAATTATTGTTATTTTATTTTTTTATAATTTATGATTATTTTTCATGAATGCATATTATGATTGTATGTATATAAGAAATATTTTATAATATAAGTACAGGCATATATACATACATATATGAAATTGTTATACACAAAATATTATGATATTATATAAAATGTTATAATTTCTATAACAATTTAAATATGAATTCAAATTTATTTATTATAATAAACATTATTAGAAATTGGCTATATAATGTGTATTTCATGCACATGGGGCTCAAAACTTAAAGTTTAATAGATTTTGTAATGTTGCTGTGAAGTCATTTAAAATTTATTGTCTCGTTAATTAATTATAAAATTATTTTCATTAAGTTTGAAATAATATAATTAGTGCTGTCTAGATTTTAAAACAAATTGGAAATTTTATAATGTAACATAAGAATGGATAAATGATAAACCGGAGTGAAATAGACCTACATATGTAGGTCTTTTTGATTATATTGTATAAGACTGGGTAACAAAATTAAATAATATTGTTCTCTTATAATTAAACTTAAAATAAAATCAAAAAATTTAAAGTAAAAAGCAATATTTAGTTTAGTTTTGTAATTTAGTAATAATTCTTATGTTTTGCAGATTGAAAAGTGAAAAAATTTGAAATATTTACTAGATTTAAATAAAAAATTCTGATAACATATTCGAATTAAAGAGGTAAAAAATCATTACTATTAAAATTTCTATTTAGATTTCTTTTTTAAAAAATATCTACCCAAATATGTGTGTTTAGCATATTTTAATGTTATTACTAATTATCAATACAACGTTTAGTTGTTTATTTTATAAGAATAACATAATAGAAATTCCTTCAAACAACTACACATTATATTGGTAATTAGTAGAATCTTTAGTGTAATAGGCACAATACCTTTTTATATATTTTTGTGATTGTTTGTTTTGAATAAAACATTGTATGCAGCAATGTATCTCATGTAAACGTCCCCTAGAAAGCCTTAGATCACTGGTTCGAGTCCATTAAATGTGCAAAATTATTGTTTGCACATTTTCTAACTCAAATTGAAATAGGAATAATATCAATACAATTTTTTTATCGATATTTGAAATTTAATCATAAATAGGTGTAAGTAAGAGAAATTTAGTATAATCAATAAAATTGCATTTTGTTAAATTAAGTCCGAAAACTATTATCAAACAATTTTAAATATTTCTTGTTAATAAATAATTTTCAAATCAAAATAAT